ATACATCATCGCTAAGACAATAGTCTCAAGCAAGTATGAAGAGTCATGTAAAAGGTTGAAATAGGAGTGGCTACAATCAGCCTTAACCCCGGAGTTCACTACATCGAAAGAGAAACGAACAACCCGAGTTATCTCACCCAAGGTCCAAGTCTACCCTCCTAAATTTTGCTAGAACTGAAGTTTTTCTACATATAAAAAAAAAAGGAGCTCTTGAAATACCCTCACTCGATGAAGACCCCATTGACAAAAAGAGACAAGTCTAAACACTATCGATTCTACGGGGATTACGACCATGACACAAATGATTATCACGACTTAAAAGAGCAGATTGAAGAATTCATATATCGGGAACACCTCTTGTGGTTTGTCTAAAAGCACCGAAAGCCCTCACCCAAACCTTAGAGGTCAATAGAGAGACAGACATATTGACATCATCATTTATGGACCAAACTCGGGGGGAGACAACTCAGGTCGTAAGGTTTATGCCCGAGCTACCATTGAAAAGTGCCCGAGGACAGAAGATGACCTGTATATAACTTTTAAGGAGGAAGAGATGAAGTATCTTGACTCAAATCATGATAATGCCTTGATAGTTTCTATGTGAATGATCAACGCTCGAGCGAAAAGGGTCATAATTGGCATATATAACTCTGCTAATATCATCTACTTTTGTGCTTTCTAAAAACTCAAGTTCTCGACTAACAATCTTACTCCTCTGACTTCTTTACTAATGGGGTTCACTAGTGACTCTATCTCCCCTCTCGGGACCAGGAGCCTACATGTCACATTCAGAGACAAGCATTGCTCTAAAATGATACTAACTAAATTCACGATGATGGATATCCCCTCGATATATAACACAATCATAGGCCACCCATATTGAACAGACTGAGGGTGGTGGTGTTGATCTACCATATGGTGATGAAGTTCCCAATTAGTACTAGCATCGGAAAGCGCAAAAGTGATTAATGTCCAAAGACCACCTCGAAAAATATGAAAAAAACATGCCACAGTAGGAGGCATAAGATAAAATGTTGTTGAGGTATATGAGTCGAAAAAACCCAACTCATACAATAAGAAACCCGCTATGGCGAGAAGCACAAGACAAAATACTAAGGTGCATGAGTAAAAAAAAAACCTAAGTCATGTCAAAAGACACCCATCATAGTAGGAGGCATAAGACAAAATATGCCCGAGGTGCATGAATCGAGAAAATCCGACTCATGTAATAAAAAAATCTATTACGATAGGAGGCAAAAGATAAAAATATACCCAAGGTATATGAATCTAAAAAATCTGACTCTTGTAATAAGAAAATCATTATGACGGAAGGCAAAGACAAAATGTGCCCGAGGCACATGAGTAAAAAAAACTCAACCCATATAATAAGAAACCCACAATTATGAGAGGTATAAGACAAAATATACCCTTTCCACATGAGTCAGGATAACCTAAATCATATTATAAGAAAGTTGCCACGATGAGAAGCCTAAGACCAAATATATCTGAGTCGTATAAGACGAGAAAACCTAACCTCAATAAGAATAAACCTATCACGATGGGAGACACAAATCAAAATATATCCAATGCACATAAGTCGGGAAACCCAACCCTCATGCAAGTAGATTTGTCATGGCGGAAGACACAAGGGAAAGAATGTTGGGAAATCATTGGGGGGCGACATTATATGCGCAGCGGAAGAACAAGAAAAACAAAATCCCCGATTCCCAAAAAGATGTTCGTCGTCGTGCGAAGATTGGTGCGCAAAAATCCGCAAAACACAAAACTGCATATAGAGATTGTGTTACCTAGGGAGATCGTATATCCCTGTTTCCTTGCAGATCCTTAGGAGAGGGTGAAGGAGGTCAAGCGTCCTCCTCTCTAGCGGTGATCCACACAGTAGGGTTGCGACGACGCTCCTCAAAA